GCCCCCCCCCCCCCCCCTAGGGTGGTTAATTTTTTTTAACACTTGAAGCACGTTCGTTCCCCACAAGTCGTTCCCCACAAGCAGTCCCTAAAGGCGCGCGTTCGGTTCGCATGGCCCTTCCCCGAGGCGTGTAGGTATCCGGCCATCCCTCTTCTGCTGTGTACTAGAGAAGCCCCTCATCCCTATCGCCCCCAGCCTTTGATGGAGCAAGTGCGCGCATTCGCGACACAGAACAACCAGCCGCTGCTGTGTCCCGCATGCCCGTAACTCCCTTGGCCGTATATCTCCAAAAATGAACGTGCCGGAAGGAAGGCGCGTTTCCGTCTAAACCTTACACCTTAGCGTAGTCCACCTTGCCCTCGAGCTTCTTGTTTTCGGCGATCTTCCGCACTGCCTTCATGAAATCCTCCTGCGTACGTATCGGCAGAGCACCGTTCGAACAGAAAGAAGCTTCGATCATCAGCAACTACGCTATTAATAGGGGGAATCTACTCCTATCACGTGATGCGAGAGCTGGGCTACAACATCATTACTGCCGGGGTAACGCTCGTCTCTGGAAGGTGATACAATCCGCGGGGCGCCTACGCCATGGTAGACAGACGACTCACCCGCACGAAAGCGAAATCAACTTCGGGGGAAGACGTATTTTAGACGCATGAGTCACTCTCACGAAATCGGAATCAACCAATCACCTCTAGCACATAGTCTCGGTCGGCCCTGATCGCGAACAGCCCAGCCTCGGTGCCCACGTTCCGGAGATCCGCCCCGTTGAACCCGTCGGCAAGCTGCAATCCGAGGGTTGTCCCAAGAGGCCAAACCGCGGGCAAAGCATTGATTTGTGAAAAAAGTGTCGGCAAGGTGACAGCAGTAAAAGTCGACGGGCGCGGCAAAAATCAACATCAGCGACTGCTTGTACAATGATGACAGCGAGAGTCAATACAAACGGGAATCTAAACGCGCGACAAACACATTAGCGACTGCCTGTACGTTTGCTGCGAAGGGTCGTGTCAAGGAGCGGGTATGGAATTGGGCGTAAATACCCATCGCAGCGCGCCACACTGCTAGTCTGAGGCTTTTGCTTCGTCCAAGGTAGGAACAACGAACCAGGCAGAACAGTCGGACGTTCGGA